TGCATTGTGTACTTCATATTAATTTTTCTTAAAATTTCTTATTTACTGGCATGTAAAAATTTGAAAAGTTCAAGAGGAAGAAATAATCTTAGCTTGGTAAATTTAGTTGTTTATCAAAAGGTTATGCATTTGTTTCAATAGTAAAATACTATAAAATATAGGATATACAGTATTTTTGACAACTTTTTTAAAATTCTATGCATTGAATTGTTTGAATGTTTTGCATGACTATATTTTTAGGTTGTAATTTTCAAAAACAACGTCAATGTAGTAATTCTGTAAATAAGTTTGAAATTAAGATTTGTGACCATATGTATCTCTTTCAAATAAGGTTATTACAGTGTTGCATACAATGTAAAACACTATAATTAGATATGATGTGAGCATATGACCTTCGTTTCTGCAGTATCTATAGAATATATTTTTACCTCTTCATCACTTGTTATCTCTGTCATGATTGAGATCAACTGAAAAAAAAAAATGTGAAACAAACACCAGAGTTAAAAAGAAATAATTTACTAATATGTTTATAAACATTTGCAAGAAATTTAATGGAAAATATCTACCCAGTGGGACAACAAATGTGCTATAGTAAAACTTACTTGTTCTTAAAATATATTTCGAAAAATACTTCTCAGTGTCATTGCAGTAATGGCTGGATTGCAGGAATGGACTTAAATTAATTAAAAAGGTATTTCTAATATTAATAATATTATTTGGTAGTCTGCCCCATGCCCGCGTTAAATGATCAAAAACAGAATAATCACATCGGTATATATTCAGCCAAGCAGGAATGTCATATTCAAAAAACGGATGGACAACAGAATTATAAAATTTGAGAATTTCAAATAGGATTTTTAGAGTGGACAATCCTTTTTACAAACCCCAGAAGTTGGGAAGCCTAAATATAAATAATAATAATAATAATATGTCATTCTTATATAGCGCTTAATGCCTTAACAAAGCCTCTAAGCGCTTCACATTACTACCGTGGTCATTGGATCAAACACATTGAACACCAAATTAAATATTTAAATGAACAAATTAATTAAAGCAAACACACAAAATGATAAATAGAAGTACAACTAGACTTACTACTGTACGTTGGTTTGTACATCAGAACATTGGGCCTTTTCTAATAAAAAATGTCTAATACTACTAAAGAAAATTATGAAGTGAAAAAAAATTAACTGTAGCTGTCATGGTATTTGAGAGTAAAAATTGTTAGTGCATTTCAGGGTAATTTTTATTTAGTTAACACAACTTGCATTTTAATACTTTAATTCAGTAAACTCAACACAGGGATAGAATTGAGGTGGTGGCACTTGATCAGGTAAATAGGCTGGCAGGTCAGTTATATTTATAGGGTTTTGTGTTTTTGGGTTTTGTCAGTTTTTATTTTGTTTGGATTTTGTGTTTGTGAGAATCCCGAAATATAATTATTGATTGCCTTTACAATTGCAACATGGACACATTGATGGTTCTGACTTTTTAGTATCACATGTCCAGGGTGCAAAGGTAACAACACCACAAGAGGTCACATTAAAAACACAAAATATGTGCAGACAATATTTTTGAGAAATTATTTTATAGAAAGAGTTTGTCGAGTTATTGTACGTTTTTGAAGAGGAGCGGAGCGAAATGAGTTGGAGTGATAGGGGTTGGATTAAATTAACGTCATTATCCTTGATATAGATCACATGTACGGTATAATTTATTAAGTCCGGAAGCAAACTTACAGCAGTGACAAACCCTCTTGTCAAGCAGGGAATAAAAATGCTAGCTTTTATTTTGATTATCATTGTAAAAAATGTAAAATTATCCAAATTTTGCATTGCTTGTCATCATTCATCAGGTTGTAAATGCTACAGATTCGTACAATGTTGTTTGGATGTATTAAAATGTCGGGTCGGACCGCAAATTTGTATCTGGATGATGCACAATACAGTCCACGACATGTGGGAAATCTGTCTCATTTTCAACACACAAGTGTAAAGAGGTGGACATATATATGCAAACGTACCTGCGTATTATTCATATGAAAGTTTATTGGATACTTTTTAAGTGTTTATAGAACTGTACATTTGTCCAAAATTATATTAATAAAAACCATATATTTTTTTTAGGGTTCAGTAAATTTATTATTATTTTTCACTAATAATAGATTTGTAGTTGGACTGAAGTCAACCGATAAGATGCGTTGCCAAACGTACCAAAATAAAAGCACTGTAAGTACAGTATTTCTTTGTAACATTACAATATTCTATTAATGTAACTTTTTTTGGTTATATTTGGCAGTTGGAGTGAAGGTAGGTCAAGTGAAGAACCAGTGTTCGTTTATGTTATTGCATTAAAATGTGAAAAACAGTAATTTTCTGTCATTTTCAATAAAATCTAAAAACCATGTTCAATATTTAACATTTATTAGATGGGCATCTACACCCCATGCTCAACTCACTGGTGGTTTGCCTGAAACATTTGGCTCCAATGGTGTAACTACTACAGGTTCCAGCAGGTCATTGAATCTGGGCTCTGTTCTTGTTCCCTTCTTAAAACATAATGAAGTAATGTATTGATATAAATTTGGAGTGATAACTGCATAATGAAATTTGAAATTAGAATTAATAAACATTACACTGGAATACCGATATCACCCTCATATGATGTGCTTGCACCACTAAATATAAATTGCCAATATAAATTATTTTAAATTTTCAATTCTATAAAATGTAAAATGCCAACAAGATATAGCTTGTCACCCAAACTGTTCTATCTTTTCTTTTAGTGTTACACGCTTACCTCTGAATTTTGTCTGGGGCTTTTGCACTTGTACCCTGACCAGGGCCCTTTGAGTCGCATCACTTGCATTAGGCTAGGCTTTTTTTTTCTTGTTTCTCATACTTATTTTAAAGATCATCAGATACGATAATCAGCTATAAGAAGAGTCCCTCTTTAGTCATAGCAAGTGTATAACTGCAAATAAAGTACCGATGATTTGCTTTTTTTTTTCAATTTATTTTGTTCTTATTTTTAAAGCAATTTCAGCCTCAGTGCTCTTATAAAAAGTGTTCTTATTTAAAGAAAATGTATTGCTCTACACCAAAACATCAACCTTCCTCGTACCTAAAAAACTAATGGAGGTTTGGTACTATTTCCTAATAGATTTGGACAAACCAGACGTCATAGCATCTTCAAGCAGTTTGTATGTTGGTCATTCGTTTACATTAACTTGCAGTAACATCAGTGGTAACCCACCTACACCAATACATGTCACATGGTTAAAAGACAACATCATCGCAAAGAACAGTTCAAGGTATGAACTATATGATGATTTTAAAAGCCTTCGAATTCATTGCATCTGTTAAAGACAGTGGAAATTACCAATGCAAAGTAGAAAATGACGCACACAGAGAAGGAAAGAAAAGTTTTAAGCTGACTGTATCGGTGATCAAATTCTGTGAGTAAATAGCCATTTACATGTTTCCTAATTGCCTATTTAGTAAGTAATAAGTATTGATCTTTCTAGCTCCTTATTGAATTGCATTAAAATAAACGAGGTTAAATATAAACATATTTAGCAGTATGAAATGATCACCATTGGATATTTGAGTTTTCTGTGTATCGGGTTATATAGGTATTTATCCCCTATGCTGTTACGCTGGTTGAGGCGGATCCAAAGAAAACAACTGGGTAGATGTGTGATGTGTGAAGCACCGAACGGGGTGGGTGTGGTCCTTGAGATTCCCGTTTAGAAATGCTTGACCATAGACACTGATACATGGATTTAAATTCAAATTAATTTTGGAGTAGACCTACCGTGCTCCCCTCTTTCACCGAGAAGAGCTTTAAAGTCTCTGATTGAGCAAATCTATGTATCTGTTTTCAATTCAATAGACCTTAATCTTACTTTTGTATCAACATCTGGGACTACAACGTGTTCTGCAGTGGGGCATCCCGAGCCGTCTTCTGTATTGATATACAGAAATTGGAAAATTATTCAGAAAGGAAAATGTACAGCAACTTTAAAAAGTAACGAAGAGATTTGCAAATCAAACATCACATGTTATGCAGAAAATGGAGAAGGCAGTGCAAAATTATCATTGAAATCCTGCTCCACAGGTAAATATATGGCCTATTTTTTTAATCATCTGTATTTTTCATTATTGTATATATGTACGTTTAGAGGGTCGAATAAGATTTTTTTTAAATTTTCTATTAGGCCTATTTCACCTATTTAGACCCTGAATTTTCTTGTATTGACCTCTCTATTGAGAGTTAAGTTTAATTGATTGATTAGTAGAATATGCATCACAATTATATCTGTTGAATCAAAAGTTATTAGCTCAAAAGGATAGGCCCCTACCAGTAGACAAAAATGCTACCCAAGTAAATCATATGTATTAAAATGATTCACAAAGTTACAACATGGGTGTACATCTGATGATTTATAAAGTCAACGCTATCAAATTTTATACTTCCTTGTGGTTATAAAGCGCAGTTCTTTTCCCTGGTCATTGGGTCCACATGGTAAGTGTTGCTGGTAATCAGTGCATCAGCAGGCAACCACAACAGGTACCCATTTATACTCCTGGGCGGAGAGAAGCAATGCAGATAAAGTGGCTTGCTCAAGAACACAAGCGAAATTATAAAAATAAATTAAAAAATAAATGGGGTGGTAATTTCTTTCATTAATTTATGTCTATAAGCAATAGCCTTGGATAAAAAAGATTTACAATGTTTATCAAAGCATGAGCATGATGATGCCATATTACACCCAAATATGGACATACAACAGTTGTTTGTCACAGAAAATTTGATAGTGTGGACAAAACTTAATAGGCCTAATAATAGTAACACTGCGCATGGTTTTTCTCAAGCCGTTTTCTGTCTTTCGAATCAAGAGGGTTAGCTAGAATTTTGGGAATAAATAAGTTTAAATGATTTTTTTAATTCACTGCTACAGAGGAAGCAATAATAAGTATTCCAACTTTGTAAAGCAAAAAAAATAGGCTTCAGAATTAATTATAAACAATTTTTTATGTCTCCACATAGGCCTTATACCGTGTGTAGGCCTATTTGCGTAATTCTCATATTTGTTTTCCTTTCTCTGGTGTTTGTTTCTCACATTGTGCCGTTTATTTTCTTAATTTAGCTTCATTTTTATTGAGAAAAATAAAACTTTTTGTAAAATTATTTGTTAAATTTGAAGATAAAAAGATCATACATCATGATTTTTTTTTTTCAAGGTCTTCACGATTCGAAATTCACAAAATCTAATCAACTACGTACGTCTATTGGCTTAGCAGTTTCAGCATTCATACTTGGCTCTGTTCCAACTAGTCTAATATGCCGCTACATCCATGTAAGTTTTGTAATGACACCATATACTTATTCGAATAAAAGCCTCGGGGAGTTTATTGCTGAGAAGGGTTTTTGAGGGGGCGTTTGTTCGAGCAAGGCATTTTGGTGTAAAATAGATACATATTATACTCAAATAAACGCCCCTCAACGGTTAATGTGAAACTACTGAACAACACCCGTCATTATTGATCCCAAGCAGGTTAGAAGAAATGTAATTCTACTGGAGTAGAACCTTAATAAAATGTGTTGAGAATGATATTGCTTTTATCAGATTTAGGGGCGTTTATTCAAGGAAACAATAAACTCCTCCGGGCGTTTATTCATGGGGGGAGTGTATTCCGAATGACGCTCTTGGGGAGACGTTTATTCAAAGCGTGGCATTCGAATAAATACGGTAAGTTATATTCAATGTTATTTCTGCTATATAACATTTAATTATGGCAATTACTATGTAATGTCAAATTCTAATAAAAGCACCAACATTACATTAAAAATTGTTCTTTTTTCATTTAGAAAAGACGAGAACGAAACATTCATTTGCTGTATGGGACCGCGCATCAGTATTGTGGTATGAAATTTAAGCGTCCATCTGGAGATTCTCCCGAAAGGTCCACTGATTAATCTCAGATAAGATAGTATTATACACAATCTATGTATCGAAATGCACGCCATCGTGTAGGGATTCAATATTTTAACATTAATTATGTCATCATCAGGAATGACGTCTTCTGCAATTTAACCTTACTCTAATTTTAATGTTTTCTATGAACAATCTCTACATTAACGCACGTTCGAATACACTATATAATACAGTGTAATAATAATTATTATGATGATAATGATAATGAATAATAGGGCTAATAACAATAATTATGATGATAACGATAACGGTAGCAAGGATGTTTCGTATTAATAATGATAAATATGTTTAGGTTAATTCTTGTGTTGTCCACTTTTTGGAAAAATCCAAAATTTGGTAGGTAAGTAGGATTTTTTTCCCTTTTTATTTAAAAAAATAATTTTTTTTACAAGAATGTGTTTATGCCCAAAAAGTAGAAAAATTATGTTTAGTTAAAAAAAATACTAAAATGCCGAACCTTAATAGGCCTATCGCACATTTTGTAGAGAGGAAGATAATGATGTAGTGAATAGCCGTAGCGATGATGGTAATGGTACTGATGATCATAATAATGAGGAGGAGAGGAACAATGGTGAAGATGATGATTATGGTACCGGTAGTGGTCTAGATGATGATGATGATGGTGATGACGACAACGATGATGACAATGATAATATTATAATAAAACATTTATGTACAAACCCATATATAATGAAAGGCATATAGCTTTAAAAACTGTGTAAGTGTGGACAATGTTTTCATTTTAATGTTGTCTCTCAATCGTCGCCCCTTTCCCACCTCCCCGACATCTCTGGATCCGCCCATGTTGCATGTATCTCATTCAGTTACATTTTCACTTACGTAATGTCAGAAATTATTATGCAATAGTGTATTTTTTTCATCATTTTCCTTGAAAAAAATTTTATGTTTGCATTAAAATTAACCTGATTTGCAAAAGGACCTAAGGTACAACAATGATAGATGTCATTATTTTCTCTCAATTAATCTGGAATATAGAATAATATTCACACCGTTAGAAGGCGACTTTGATGGTCTATGTAGTTACAGTTTTCAGACCCGGTATGTTTTGAATTCCAGACGTTTTTTGAAGACCTCAGTTTTGCATTGTGTGTGGTTGATTTGAAATGAGCGTAATTATAATATTGATGCATTGCAATGAAGTTAAAACAAGAACACCGGTAGTAATGATTGAAAACATTTTATATATAGCTTATTGCCTAATGATAATAAATAAAATCCCGTACTTAACTCAAAATTTTGATTTCTGTAAAGCTGGATGTATGATACCTTTTATAATTACAAATACTGACAACATTATAATATGCTCTTGTCCTGACATGTTAAATTAGCATTTAAGATGTACTGTATAATTCTCTTACATAAATTCTCATACATTAATTACAGTATATAAGTGTGATAACCTTTTTAGTACATATCCATCTTTATGAATGATGCTACAAAAACATCTAAGTCGCGGTGCAGACATGTTTCGGGAAAAGTTTCCCATACTTACGTCATCTTATATTCATTTAATTTTATATCTATAAAGACAATTAAAACAAGGCCTACTGACAGTATTAAAATATTATTATTATTCTAAATCCGTCTGTTCTCTTGAACCTGTGTGCGTTTTGTTGTTTTTGTTGTGTACGAATAAGTATTCTCTTTTCTTTTAAGTATCATAGCACATGAATAAATACTATCTGGTTAGGTTGTATTTATTTCAGTACAGTAAATACAATCTAATAATACCTGTATTTATTTTTCATGTAAATGTATTAAGTATTATAGTACATTTAATAACAATAATAATAATACAACCTAATAATAACTAGAGATACTATGTTCAATAGAACATGAGCCCAGTCAATTTTTAAGAGATAACCTCTGTGACCTTTAAGCTCAACCTGTGTGAACACCCCGTGTTTGGTAGGAGTCTGTTTAATGCAATTGGTCCAATTATTACTCACTAGAAATCATAATGAAAACTTTTCCTCTATTTGTGACAAAAGCTCATTCAGGTAAATCTGACCTACATCTTATGCATGAACGTACTAACCACAGAAAACTCGAAATTTGTAGCTGCTATTGGCCTTAAGCGCGTGACGTCATTCATAGACAGGGTAAAAACAGTTATGAATACAAAATTTTAAAGAAAAAATCATTAATGGTTATTTAAGCAACCAGCATGGGAATTACATGGTAGAAGAAAGCTTAATTTATGAGTTATAATTGACCATTCACCCCGAAGTTTAGCGACCTGTCGTTGCAGAGTTAAGGTAAGAAGAAGCAGGAAAGTATACCAAAAAACACTCTAATTTTAACCTTTTTCCTATGCAAAAGCATAAGAGATAGTCAATTTTGAAAGAAAAATGATCACTCAATTTTGCATTAATTGTAAATATATATAGATGATTACAAAGCTTAAAACATCTAATTTCATAATCCGATCGCCCCAGATTGCCAAATGAAACCAATCAAATTATATAGTCGATTTTGTGAGAAAAGGGGGTCTGGTTTTGACTCATTTACTGTGTTAAAGTGTGCAGTGAACCGTTCAGTGAGCAGATGTCCCCAAGTTTTCATTATGATGATGATGATAATTAGAATTAACTTTTGTTTATTATGTCAGCCAAAAATGGGATCGGACTAGTTTGGAATCGTTTGGTTTTGCTTCTGTAATATTTAATCTTAGGGGTTTTCTAAGGGTCATACAGGATCTGTACTGAGGGGCAGGGAACCAGGCAGAGAATCTACCCGAAGCATGTACTTTTAAGGCAAACACCTTGCACAACTGCCATCTTCTAGTATGAAGAGGTTCTAGATCCAGTTTTACAAGGGAATGTGAGCAAGATCTATACCCACTGCCTAAAATGATCTTGCAGACACGCTGGATGTTTTCGACCTGGTTCATCTGTCCCTGAGTAAGACCTGCATGCCACAAAGGGGAAGCATACTCCAACACAGGTCTTAAATATCCCTTATAGACAGATAGAAGTTCCAATTTGTTAAGACCCACCCTTCTAAGCTTACGAAGCATGAACATTTTACCATTAGCTTTACTGCAAATACTATCAATCTGGCTTTGCAATTTTAAATCATTTTGGATTATTACACCCAGTAATTCTACTGTATTACAGGTAGAAAGTGATTAGAGATGTGTAAATCACCAATTGGAGTATTTTGCTTACTGAAATTGATGAACATATTTAAACATTTGGTGGGGTTAGTTTGAATTTATTCCTAATGGCAGGCCCGTAGCCAGGGGGGTTTTTAGGGGTTCGGGCGAACCCCCCTTTTGCCAGCAAACCCCCTTAGCCAGAAAACGATCCCCCGTTTCCAAGATAGTGCAATTTATTACAAAATGGGAGCATTTTTGGCACTGTTTATTTGTCGCTATCGATCGTAGTCCGATCGTAGAAATCAAAACAAAGCTGCAGCCAGCTGAATGACGTAAGCAGCAAGACTTCAAAATGAATATTAATGAGAGGTTTGTTGCCTAGGCTATTTGACCAATCGCGTGCTCCGTAGTTTATTTACTTTGGCACGACGTCATCACAAAAGTTTGGGCGCTCGACATTTTTCATTTCTCTGGGATCGAGGACATGATACACGCCAAAAATAGCCTAGGAGGAGGATGAAGCGCCGAGAAAGGATAACCGATTTTTTTGCTTCAAGGCCAGCAACGAAGAAATCACGAAATTTAAGAAGTTAGAAAATTCACCCTTGTTTTCACCACATGCTCATGATACTGCCTGGCGGCGGGACCGGTGTACTTTTTCGGGCTAGGCC